ACACGAGCTGCTTAACGAGCCGAACACGAGCTGTTCACGAACAACGAGCCAAATTGACAGCCCTACATACAAACCACCCAATTTGTATATATTTACATTTTCAACAACTATAAACCTTATTTTTTTACATTTATGCCAACCAAATCTTCCATATAATATAAAAAAATATTATAATTTTAAAAAGTGAAATATACATTTTCAAACATGGGTTAAGGTGACATTTATGTAAAAATTGAAGTTTAGGTGTTAGATATGTAAATACATGGAAGTTGAGTGGTAGGTATGAAAATCATTGAATCGTTGCGTGAACGGCAAGCAGTTTGAATAGATTTTACATATGATTTTGTTAATATTTCTTGACTGTTATTGTCCATTGATCAATGATGCCAATAAATAGAGCTAGAAAGTCAGAGTTTGTGATGGAAAGAGTTTTAGGGTTGTCTACTACTAATCAAGTTCATTATCAGTTCACATCAAAGCTCCGCCTTCATTATCAATTGAAGTCTAAGGACCCGTTTGGGGCAGCTTATTTTGTTGCGGCAACGTTTTGACGCAGCGTTTGTTTCGGCATTTAGGGCTGCGTTTTCAAATCACCTTTAATCGCGGATGCGATATTATTCGTTCCATCGAACGCGGGGGAGGGGTTCCGTTCAGCGTTGGACAGGGGCAGGAATGTCATTTAACCACCAATAAGCTACTCTGAACAAGTTGCCTCAAACAGCAAGCCTTATCAGATTATCAGAATAATCTGCTTATCAGCAGATTATAAATAATCCACAGCTGCGCCAAACAGCCCCTAAGTTAAGTCAAGTTTAGCAATTAAAAGTCTCTCCTCTTTAATTTATTTATTGCATCATAATCTAGAATATAAGCTTTTTAATTGAAACATCACTATAAACATTTTTATTTATTCATACATCACCTAATTTATTTTATAATAACTAATATGCCATTCAATTATTACTATATTCTTATTTATATAATAAATTAAATATTATTCTATTTTAAGATTGTGTAACAATAGAAAAATAAAATATAAATCTATTAGACTAATGTAATTTAAAATAAATTATAAAGAACGCATGTTAAATCAATATATAACATTAATACACATATATGAGGGGTGTGAAGCAAGCACAAATAATAAAATTCAAAGTCTCGGACCTCTTAGTAATATCTCAAGCCTTGGATGTGAAAAATGAAGGTTTGATTCTTTTGATCATCACCCCACTCAGTGGGATGAAGGTCTTGTAGTACTTGTCGTTATTGTTGTATATATTTAGCTTACGTATTGTATGAGTGAAGCCTAATGATCGATTGAGACTCAAAATTAAGTTTATGAATAGGTCTTTCCGCCGATATTAGAGAAGTTCCTTGTGTCGTGATCAATGCATTAAGTCAGTCTAATTTAGGGTGCAACAAAGTCAAATCAACCCATGAATCAGCTCGAGTTAACTCATAATTCAACTAATATTTTTCAAAATTATATTAATAAAAAATACATTAAGATATACATTAAAAATTAATATTTTTATCGGCCATAGCAATGCAACACCTTCGTTATCAATGCAGTAAGTCAGTTAATGCCGTAAGTCACTCAACTATGTTGGCTAAGACTTGTGTTATTTAAAACATAATATATCAAATAATTAATTACAAGGGAAATTACATATGTACCACACAATTCTTATGAATTTATATATCTAACACGTGCAATTTGATATTTTCATTTAAAACACTTCGGTGATATATATTTATGCATACAAATATGCATTCGATCATTTTTAAGAAGTTAGTAAGAATGATATTTTTAATGTAATGTTAAATATTAAAGTTTAGGTGTTAGATATGTAAATAAATAAGAATTGTGTGGTATGAATGTAAATGCCCCTTTTTTTAAATATTGCTCATAGAGACTTATTTTAAATGAATTGAAATTAAGACTAAATTATTTAGTACTTTAGGAGTCATAAAGCTTTTTTATACTCCTCATACAAATATTTTATCTCATTAATAATTTTAAAGCCCGATAATTAATTAAATTATGTAATAATAATGCACAGCAGTGGGGGGCATTGATTGAATTCAAATATTATTTAAATTAAGTAATAATAATTAATTAATTTAATGTAATTAGTTTGCTATAAATAGGATAGAGCAAGAGACATAATTATGCTAACTCTGATGGAAAGAGTTCAGTTTTCTCAACTACTACTAATCTTTACTCTATCTTTATATTGCTTGAGAGCGGAAATCAAAGGTGGCTTAGCTACTCGCAAAGTGAGCCAACGTTGCAGTGCTGAGGAAAGAGATGCCCTCCATGATTTTAAGCAAAGTCTATCTGATCCTCACCTCGTTCTCTCGAGTTGGGATATAAAAGAGGATTGTTGCACGTGGAAGGGAGTGAGTTGTAGTAATAAAACCAATCATGTCATCAAACTTGATTTAAACAGGTTATCTGTTTTTCCAGACTTTAAGAATAAGTTTTTATATGCCACATCGTTACACCTGTCTTTTATGTGCTTACGACACTTGCAATATTTGTGCTTGAGTCAAATTATATTCCATCGGACGATGATCCCTCATTCTATTGGTTCCCTCACTAAATTAAACCATCTTGATCTTTCCTTTTCAAGGTTCATTGGAGAAATTCCACCTCATATTGGAAATTTGACAAAACTTAAACTTCTTGATCTTCGTTGTAATTCTCTAGTTGCTTATAACCTCCTATGGATGTCCTGCCTCTTCTCTTTACAATTTCTTGATATGTCATATGTGAATCTAACATTCACTACGAGTTGGTTATATGAGATTAGTGTGCTTCCAACTCTCTCCACTTTATATTTGTCATCATGCAGCCTGCAAACACTTCCGAATTCACTTCCATATTCTAATTTTTCATCAACCATTGAAACATTTGATCTTTCTAATAACCATTTCAATGGAAGTTTGCCAAAATGGTTCGGACAATTTAAAAGATTAAAAGTGTTGTACCTCTATATGAACTTTTTTACTGAACCAATCTCATTTGCCTCTTCAAGCTTATTATGTGATCTCTATGATTTGGGCCTTAGCTATAATTATTTTACAAAATTAAGTGATGATGGGTCTTCTTTAAAATGCAAAGAATATAAAATGACAATCCTGGATATCACCAATAACCAACTGAGCGGCAGCATACCTAAATGGGTTGAAAATATGAAAAATTTAATATTCCTTTATCTTGGAAATAATCAGTTTGATGGACTTATTCCGCAGAGTCTTGGTCAGCTAACTAACTTAGCTATTTTGGGTCTTAGTTCCAATAATTTGCATGGGAGTCTCTCTGAAACTCATTTTGCAAATTTATCACAATTGACACATCTATATCTTTCAGATAATCAGTTGAATTTTAACATGATTAGTCCTAATTGGACTCCACCATTTCAAATTTCTTTTCTTTACCTACGTTCTTGTCTTGTTGGTCCTCAATTCCCACTGTGGCTTCAAAATCAAAAGCTCCTTTTCAAATTAGACCTTTCCGATTGTGGTATTTATGATATCATTCCGAGTTGGTTTTGGAATATATCATCTCAAATAAATTACTTGAACATGTCCCAAAATGCAATTAGAGGTGAACTTCCAGTGTCATTGAATATTGCATCTCAAGCAACTATAGACTTAAGCTCAAATCAATTGGATGGGCATCTTCCTCAGCCAATGAATTTTGTACGTTATGTATTATTTTCAAACAATAAGTTCTCAAGCGGGATTGAGTTATATCTAAATGGGAACATGAGTTGCTTGGAAGTACTTGACCTTTCTCAAAATCATCTCTCAAGTGAAATCCCTAATTCTATATGTCAAATGCCTTTAATAATTCTTCTCGACTTATCACATAACAAACTTTCAGGAGAAATTCCAAAATGCAATGCTAGTGTTTCAAACTATCAGATGTTAAAGCTTATCAGCATGTCATATAACAACTTAAGGGGTTCAATTCCACAATGGATAGGGAACCTTCCAATGTTATTATCATTGCACCTCAACAATAATTTTTTTCAAGGGGAGATGCCATTTTTCAAAAATTACAGCAAGCTTATTACCCTTGACTTGGGAGAAAATTACTTTACAGGAAGCATACCTTCATGGATTGGAGAAAAATTATTGTCCGTAAAGATCTTATGCTTACACTCAAATAAATTTCATGGATCAATTCCCTTGGAGCTATTCAAACTAAAAAATCTACAAATCTTGGATCTTGCAAAAAATTTTCTTTCAGGCTCAATCCCAAAATCTTTTAATTTTCTCAATTCAATGGTCATACCAAATAAGAGACTTGAAACTCTAATTCCTAACGATGGTGTTACATTTCCAATTGAGGGGATCGACATTATGTTTTCCATAAGTCTTACCAACTATCCAAGAATACTTATACCTGATTCAATAATGATCGACGTAAAAGGAATAGTTCGTGAATTCAAAAGCATACTCTCTCTTGTAAACATTATAGATCTTTCTTGTAATAATCTCACCGGTGAAGTTCCTATTGAATTAACGAGCCTTGTTGGATTGATGAGCTTGAATTTATCTAGCAACCAATTCACAGGACAGATACCAAAGAAAATTGGTTTTATGCAAAGCTTAGAAAGTTTGGATCTCTCAATGAATCATTTCTCGGGAGATATTCCACAGAGCATTGTGATGCTTAGTGCATTGAGTTATCTCAACTTATCCTACAATCAATTGTCTGGTACAATCCCGACGGGGACCCAACTTGACACTTTTCAAGAATCAAGTTACTACGGAAATCCAGAACTCTGTGGAAAAACACTACATAAAACTTGTGAAGGTGATGAACATAAATTACATGAGGAAGGAGGCAATTCTCAGGATGATGATGATTTTGGTTTGTTCCTTGGTATGGGACTTGGTTTTGCTGTTGGACTATGGAGTGTATTGGGGGCCTTATTGCTCAAGAGGTCTTGGGCGACCACTTATTTCCAATTCCTTGATAAAGTGATAGATAATATTTATGTATTTGTCAACATAAAAGTGAATCAGTGGTTTAATAATCAAATAACATAATTAAATGATGATCATTTATGTATTTGAGTTAATTCAAAAAGTGTTTTTAGTTACCCCAATGTATATAATATTGTGTTTGACTAATATTTCAATTAAAGTTCTCTGTCTTTCTTGTCCGCATTTCACTTTGAATCATTGAGTTGCATGAGACTATGTTGGTGATAACAGCAGATTAAAGTATTATCAAATCAATTTTTTTTTCCGAGTAATAACATCAGTTAAAGTTATAAATTAAAATTAGCCTATTTTTTTATAAGTAATGATATGTCATCGATCAATTATTTCTAAACTCATATTTATGTTTCATAATAGTAAGATGTTAGGATGTTATATAAAAAGGGTGATAAACTAGAGTATTCTATTAAGTCAAAAAAACCTTTTTTTTATCAAGAAATACGAAACATTATGATAATTGATATCTCATGAATCTTTTTATATGATATAAAAGATTTGGGTGATATATAAGATGTGTAACTACATAGAAATTGCATGTAAATGCCATTTTTTAAATCTAATTATGTGCCGGGAAGATAATCACACAAAATTAAAATTCACTTTTCTTATGTTTATGACATCGCATAATGCAAGAATATGAGATTTTCAATTGATGTATTTATTTATTTTTATTTTTTTGGAAGATTTACATTTATACAACTCAATTCCTATGTTTTTATATATCTAACACTTAAACTTCACTTTTAACATATATAAAACCTTATTTATTTCACTTTTTAAAAGTTAAAATGGTGGTATAAACGTAAAATAAAAAATGTTGGTGTAAGGTAAGTAAATAATAATATCCCGTACGATTTAACATTAATGTAAACTATAAGTGAAGACTTAATAGATTATAAGCAACATTATAGGCTACACACAAGAATAAACAAAAATTAAATCTATTTAATTAGTTTAATACTTAATTCAAATAAATAGCAATCTTCACTTTGATTCAAGTATTAGACAAGCATAGCCCCTCTTTCTCTTTGCACCTCCTTAACTAGAAGGTCTACCTACCCAATGCAAAGTCGGGCGATACTAGAATTTAGTTTCATAGACAAGGAAAGCCCCTCTTTCTCCAATTATAATTACATTGCGAAAAATGTAATTTGGCAAAAAATGTAATTTGTCCTTCTCTATGTTCCTTATTATAACTCTCCCAATAATATATATGATTTAACCCAAATTTTCTACTCAAATTGACTATTAATTAAAATTTGTACATCTATTATCACTTAACTGTTGTCACTAGCTATTACTATATCATCAACATATAAAACAAATATATAACATTGCTCTACAAAAACCTTTTATAATAAACACACATGTCATAAACACTCCTCTTGTAAGAATTATGAATTGTCAATAAATAAATTTCTTGTACGATTATTGTGAAGACTTTTGTAACAAATATAAAGATTTTCTACGATGACAAACTTTGTTTCCTGATCAAATCTATCCCTCTAACTAGCTTATGTAGATAACCTCCTCAGGTTCTCCATGTAGGAAAGGCATTTCTTAATCCATTTGTTTGAGCTCTAGATCAAGAGAAAAAATAACTCTGATCAAAGTCAGCTTTCGAATAGATGAGAAAATCTCATTGAAATATATTTCTTCCTTCCAAGTGATTCCCTTGGTCACTAATTGAGCCTTACATCTCTCTTCCTCAACATCTAAAATACCATTTTGTCACTTACATATTCATTTGCAACCCACTATCAATTTATTTTTTTATTTTTTCACAAGTTCCCAAGTAAAGTTATTTTCCAATCATCCATCGTCTATTTTCAGGATTTTTTTTTATCATCGTTGTTCATTACTTGAGAGAGGGAAGTGAAAGCGGCTTAAATATTAGCAAACCGCACAACCATTGCATCATTTAAGAAAGAGATACCCTCCTCGATTTTAAGCGAAGTCAACTTGATCCTCACCATATTCTTTGGAATTGAAATATGGGCGAGGATCTTTGCAAATGGAAATGCATGCTCTACAGCAATACAACCAACCATCTCATCACACTCTATTTAGGTAGGCTCTCTTTTAGGGGTGCAAACGAGTCGAGGCGAGCTAGAGTCATGCCTGAATTTAACTTGGCTCCTCTTCCAAAATGCAAGCTCAAGCTCAACTCACAATGATGACCCTTAACTTAAAATTTGAAAAGGTGGTATCAATATGCTCGACTCACAAGCTCGTCAATGAGCCAAGCTTGAGCCGCTCGCGAGCAAAAATGGCTCACTTAAACCTCTGACATCTTCCATTTCCAATTTTGTGGAAGGCCTTTCAAATATATTTGCTATCGTATTATGGAGTGTATTGGGGATCATATTGTCGAAGAGGTTTTGGGCAATCATTTTCTTCCACTTGTTTTATAATATGATAGATAATATTTATATATTTGTTAATCGATAAATAACATAATTAGATGGTGATAATTTATGTACTTGAGTTCTTCCATAAGTGTTATAAAATCGTGCGATAAGATTTTCTATTAATGCATTACATGCAAATTGTTCCATTAAATAAATTATATGCAATCCATAAAATAAAAGACGCCAAATTAATTTCTTTTTTTTATAAGCACACTTTTTAAATTATTAATTCATGCAGAAACTGTTATTAGTTTTCATAGACTATAATTAAATAAATACTTCAAATTTAAGTCAGGTGGGATAAAAATACTAATGCAGACCACACAATTACAAAGTATTTACATATATAGCCATTTATTATATATATTTATATTTAACCTTAAATCATAACAGCTTATGCGGTAAAAAATTATTAATAAAAATATATTAAAATATAATAAAATTGAATATTTAGATCCGCCGTAGCAAGGCTAATATTAATCTCATTAATTATTTTAATGCACAACAATTATTTTAAGAGCCAACACAATTTATCTCAAACCATTTATATTTCAACTTACTAAACAATTATAATCTTAATTTATTTTTTATAATTAATTTTTAACATAAAATTTAACCTTCTTCAATATTTTCCCTTAATTTAATTAATTTTTTTTTTGCAAAAAACCCCAAACAACTTTCAATGTAACAACAAATCTCATACCACTTTGAAAGCAATGTTTTGAATCATGCATTAATTTAGAGTGCTGTCAGTTAGAGTTGTTTCATGTTTAAGTTCAAGATCCACCTCAAGTGATGTTCGGTGGGTTGACCTTAAAATGAGGTCAAAAATAAACAATGTACAACTGAAGCTAGACTAAATTAAGAAAAGGAAGATAGAGTCCATTTGGGGCAGCTTATAAGTGCGGACGGTGTTTTCAAAACGCCGTCGTACCGTTTGGTTCGCGCGTTTCGTCAGCTTATTTGAAACAACGTTTGAATTTTTACACAAAACGCAAGGAAAGTCCTATGGCTAGACCTAAGCTACTAAAGAAGTTTTCTAGACCTCAACCAAAAGTGAGGTCAACATGCCCCAAACGAACCCTTACATACTTACCACAACGCACAAGCTGCCCCAAACGGACCCTTACATACTTACCGACTCAATTTCAAAGTATTTACATATCTTAACACCTGAACTTCAATTCTTACATAGATGTCATCTTACCCATGCATGAAAAGCTGTATTTCAAGATTTAAAAGTTAAAATGATGATTTTTTTTTTTTTGTAAGATGAAACTTTTGGATGGTTTAAATGTAAAAATGCAAAATATATGGGTTAGATATGTAAATAGATAGAAATTGGGTGGAATGTATGTAAATGACGCCCCAAAAAGAAAACAAAAATCAACATTTAACGTCTGCCATTAATCATACATATATTTATATTGAAAGATTAGGTGACAATTTTTGCAACATTAAAGGTCAAAGTCCACAGCTTTGTCGAAAAGTCTTACTAATTAAGCTAAATAAACTTCTTACTAATTAATTATATAGAAAATGACGATATTAAAAGTATAGGGGAGAATTTTCAAAAAATGTTCCAACCAATGTGCTATAAATCGGGATAGAGCAAGAGAGCCAGAATTATGCCTACTATCATGGAAAGATTTGAGTTTTCTCTACTGATAATCTTTACTCTATCTTTTTATTGCTTGAAAGCGGAAAGCGAAAGTGGCTTAGCTATTCACAAGGTGAACCAACGTTGCAGTGCTGAGGAAAAAGCAAATTATGTAATAATAATTCATTAAATATTAATTTATTGTAATTAGTTTCCTTTCTCTAAATGAGTCCAAAAGGTGTACGCTTCTAAAGATAGCTTAGCACTATAAGCACGCATCCGTAATTCAACTAAATAAACTTCTTACTAATTCATGTGATATAAATAGCGATAGAGCAAGAGAGAATTTTAGAGATATCTTCCAACCAATGTGATATAAATAAGGATGGAGCAAGAGAGCCAGAATCATGGCAACTCTGATGGAAAGAGTTGAGTTCTCTATACTCCAAATCTTTACTCTATCTTTATATTGCTTGAGAGCGGAAAGTGAAAGTGACTTAGCTATTCGCAAGGTGAACCAACGCTGCAGTGTTGAGGAAAGAGATGCCCTCCTTGATTTTAAACAAAGTCTATCTGATCCTCTCCTCGTTCTCTCGACTTGGGACATAGATGAGGATTGCTGCACGTGGAAGGGAGTGAGTTGTAGTAATAAAACCAATCATGTCATGAAGCTCGATTTCTCTATTTTTTTAGACAATGGGAGTGATTTTTTACATGCCACATCTTTACATCCGTCTTTTTTCCGCTTACGACACTTGCAATATTTGTGCTTGCGTAACCTTCTCTTCAATCAAACGAGGATCCCTCATTTTATTGGTTCCCTCACTAAATTGAGCTAGCTTGATCTCTCATTTGCAGGGTTCGTCGGAGAAATTCCACCTCATATTGGAAACTTAACAAAGCTTAGACACCTTGATCTTGGTTAAAATTTTCTAGTTGCTTATAACCTCTTATGGATGCTCCGCCTCTTCTCTTTACAATCACTCGATATGTCAGTTGTCAATCTAACATTCGCTACGAATTGGTTACATGAG